GCCCAGCTCATCTAAACAGCCCTCTTCATCCCTTCCCAGGGCATCTTTTCACAGCCCAGGGAAGTCCCTGGCTAGGAGAGGCAAGGAACAGAGGCCAAGTCTGATGGTGGCTTCTAGGCTACAGAGGAATGGAAGGAGAGCCGGGAGGGGCCATAGAAGAAGAAGGTGTGGGAGAGGAGAGGGAGGACAGTGGGTGGGACTGAAAGAGGATTGCTCTTAGGGCCCTGTTAGGGCTTCCCGGGATTAGGAAATGCTCTGGTTTTGTGGGTCTACTTTCTTGAGAGGCTGGGCCGGGCTGGGCCTGGCTGACTTGTTCCTACTTCCAGGAGGATGACAAGGAGCAACCCTGGATGCAAGCCCAGATCCAGCTTGACACCCTGACCTGCAGACAGAGAGGCCAGGGGGAGAGAAGCTGGAGTCAGGGGACCCAGGGCTCCTAGGAACTGTGGGAGGGGCCTGGCTAGGCCACGTGTGTGATGAGGCTGGGAATTTCCCCCCATGTCACTTTGCCCTTTCCTCTCCTCCAGTGGTGCCCTAGAAACTGAAGCGTAACAGGCAGGCCCAGGGACACAGGGAAAGTGGTTGGGATAGAGAAAGGGGAAAATGGGAAAGAGTCTGGAGAAAAGTCAGTATCAATGCCTTGTAGACCCAGCTCCCCAGAGGACACTGTGATGTCTGGGGCAAGCTGCTCTCCAGCTCCGGGACTTGGGGTCCTCCTGGGAAAAGGAGAGAAGCAATCACTACTGCCTCGTAGGATTGATGATCATAATGATCATCACCACCTTTCACTAAGGCCAAGCCCTGTGGCATTTGATTGTCACCACCCTGTGAATCGGGTACAGTTATAGTCTTCATGTCATTGATAAAAGAAACCGAGGTACAGAGTTGTAACTGTCAGGGCTGTGATTTAAGCACAGAGGCCAGAGCCCACACCTTATCCTCTGCATGACGGTCTCTTGGGAAATGGGCAAGTTGTGGGTATGTAATGGTTTCATTCACCTTAAGGTGCTGAATGAATGTGAAAACTTCTGAGGATACAACTACCTCCTCATGTAGGTATTTGGGAAATGAATAGAATCTAAAATGTCTTCTTAGGCTATGGAGAGAAGCTGGGACCGGCCGGGCGCGGTGGCTCACGCCTGTAATCCAAGCACTTTGGAGGCCAAGGTGGGTGGATCACCTGAGGTCAGGAGTTTAAGACCAGCCTAACCAACATTGTGAAACCCCATCTTTAAAAAAAAAAAAAAAAAAAAAAAAGAGAAGCTGGGACCATAGACTCTGCTCATTTACTTACTTCTTACCAAAAACTGCCACAATTGCCTGAACAATTTTAGTCAATATCATGTGCTTGACATACATCATCTCATTTATATATCACCAAAATATCTCTCTGATATACACATACACCCAGCACCAAAAAGTACCTAGAATCCACTGGAGGATTTTACACTCCTGAGATTGCCTCAGGCCATGGGTCTAAGGAAGGGACCCAGGGCTGCTCTTTTCCTAGTTCATTAGCTGCTCCCCCTGAGTTCCATTCTCCCCTAGCCAAGACCCTGATTCACTCATTCTCCTAATAGAGTGAGGCATGTGCTTGATTTAGATGCTCCATTTCCCATCAGTAGGGTATGTGGAAATAGCAGTGTGCTGGGAGCAGGGTACTTGGGTACTGTCCTGAGTATGAATCACAAAGTCAGTGTAAGACCTCTTGCAAGTCCCTGCCGCTCGCTGGCCTTTGGTGTGGCTCCAGCCCTACAAGGAAAGACTGGGTTGATTATTTATTTATTTATTTATTTAGAGACAGACTCACTTGTTGCCCAGGCTGTAGTGCAGTGGCACGATCTTGGCTCACTGTAACCTCCGCCTCCCAGGTTCAAATGATTCTCCTGCTTCAGCCTCCTGAGTGGCTGGGATCACAGGTGCCCACCATCATGCCTTGATAATTTTTTGCATTTTTAGTAGAGACGAGTTTTCACCATGTTGGCCAGGCTGGTCTCAAACTCTTGACCTAAGGTGATTCACCTGCCTCGTCCTCCCCCGACCTGAGTTGATCATTTCTAAAGACCCTTCAAGCCTGGCATTCTGAGTTCTGTCTTGCTAGCAGGCAAGACTTTGGAGCATGATGCTTAAGAGTGTTAAGAGTTTAAGAGCCTGGATCTTCATGTTCTGGTTACTTGCTGTGCTGTAAGACCTTGGGCAAGTCATCTAGTACCCCAAAGCTTTAGTTTCATCTGAAATGTGGACGATAATGGTACCGACCCCGTAAGCTGGCTGGGAGACAAATTATGTATGAAAGCGCAGAGCTAGCACACAGCAAATACTTCATACATGTTATCTTTTAATGCTTTTATTACGCAGCCTCTGCCCCTCTTCTGGCACTTGGTTTAGAGTTAAATTGGTTATAGATGGATTTTTTGTTTTTTATTTCCTTCAAATGTGTATTTGGGTCTGACTCTGTAGCTACCTCAGTAGAGGCGGTGGAGGAGGGAGTAGCAGAAAGGAGATTGAGAAGTTGTGTGCTTTCAAACAAAACCAAATAAAACAAAACAAAGGCCGTTTGATTCTCCTTCTGGGTGGGGCTTTGTGCGAGTGGTTGTCATTACTCTGGAAGAACAAGAGGTTGCCACCTGCCTGAGTCACTCGGCCCCAGTCGCGCCCAGCTTCTTGACTTGGAAATCCCCTTCTGGACCAAGGGGTAGCAGGCAATGCCAGGATACGGGGCCTGTCTTCCATTCCTGCCATGCCCCAAGAGGCCAGGGTCTCACAGAGGACACGTATGGTAGGATGGAGCCTGGCAAGGTTGCATTGCTGAGTTTAACAGCAAAGCTCTAAGCGATGCATGCAACCCACATCTACACATCACTATCATTTCTCGAATGCCTACCGTGTACTGAGACTTGGGCTTTATTTGTATTATCCAATTTAGCCTCACCTGAGGAATAGGTATATTATCCCCCATTTTCCAGACAGAAGTCTGAGACTTAGAGGGGCCACCCAGGTAGTAAGTGGCTGAGTAGGGACTGGAATCCCATTAGTTCAGTTCACAGCCTGTGTTTATGACAGTGGTGAGTTTCTGTAAGAAAGTAAGAAAAATCATGTCATTGTGAAGACAACGTGGTACAGTGGCCGAAGCACACGGGACTGGGAGCCACCGCCCTGGATGCCAATCCTGGTTGTATCACTCAATGAGTGTGGCCTACAGCAAGTCCTTTTCCAGATAGAGGCCTCAATTTATGTATCTGTCAAATAGGGGTTTGTTATCAATGGTCTCCATGGCCTCTCTCATGGTGGAATGCCCTGAAGATGAACCAAGGCTTAAAAGAATGTAAGGGGTGGGGGCAGTCATGACTTTGAATAAATGAATTTTCTCACAAATAGCAACTGTTAAAAAAAACGCATCCAGAACTAGGAAATCAGACAAAAAGATGACTGAGTGACATTTTTACATCATGCTTGAGAATTCCCAGAGGGCACTTTGAGAAATGATCCGGTCTACCCAGCTCTCTAAGGCCAGATATGTTACAAAAACAGCTGAAATAGGGTGGAAACAAAATGGGAGTAATTAGAGACCTGCCATTTTTAAGTAAATTTCAGTGTTCAGTGAGTAGAGGGTGGGGGTGGAGAAGACGTGGGTTTGGACTAGGAGGAGAGCAGGAAGAAAACTGACCTGTGGGGGCCTGATGGGTGGAGATGATTCATGGGAGCTGCTATGTGAACCAGGGCTGCGATTGTTTCTCTGTAGGATCCCCCAGTGGTGACACTCCGGTGTTCTAGTGTTTGCATTTTCCCTCCCTCCGTCCCTCCCTTTTGAATCAAGGCTTATGTGTAATTCTTTTCAAAAAGGGAACTGGAATGAACATAGTTTTGAAAATCTGGTAACATCTTTGAAGTAACTGAAGGAACCCTAGTATGTTGCAAAGCCTTAAAGGAGAATCCCGGATTAGGCATATAATTTGGGCGAGTGTGTGTGTGTGTGTATGTGTGTTCACTCGAAGTCACAGTGATTGGTAGGTCTCTCTTCTGTCAAATGAGGGTGTGTATTAAACAGTTCCCCAAATCCTTTCCCCTAATTCTTTTTGAGGATGAGGGCCTGTCAATGACTAAGTTTTGTGTCTTTTGCAATAACTTTTTCATAAAGCTATATTTAGTTTGAAGAGCTGTTCTTTACTCCAAGGTCAGGCCTCCCACTTCTCGGAATTAAAATTTACCTTTCTTTTTGAAACTAAAAGGATAAGCTTTTAAAAAGCTTTACTAGCCTTAAAGCAAGTTTCCGTTTCTTACCGGTGTAGGAAATCTCAGTCTGTTAGGATTATCTAGCAGGGTGGAAGAAGGCCTCTGGATTTGCCCACCTGGGTTTGAATCTTGATTCAGCCCCTTACTGAGGTCATTTAACCTTTTTGTGCCTCAAATATTTCAGAAAAGGGAGTAAAACCCATTTCACTAGGGTGATTGTGGAAAAAGAATGCATGCAAAGCATCTACAATGTCTGCAGCAAAGCGTTTACAATGTTTGGAGCAAAAAGTGTTTGCGGTAAGAGTCTTGATGGGTCCTTTCAGCTCGGAATTTCTACAGCTTTGCTAAGAGTCCTGCAACGCCCTGGACGGAACTCTGGGGGCCCTGAGCTCCAGCTCTGGCTTAGCGCCAACTGCTTACGTGCCTTTAGGCAGGTCCCCTGCCCGCTCGGGCCCACGTTCCCTAGGGCGCAAGGAAGGGGCTGGGTGGTCTCCGTGGCTCGTCTCCGCGGTGAAATTCCGGCTTTTAAGGTGGCCCCAGGCCTCCGCCCGCGGCTTCCGGCGCGGGGAGTGCAGCGAGGGGCCGCGCGGGCCTGGGACGGTGGCGCTAGGGAGGTCGCCCCCCGAGGGGAAGGACGCCAAGGTGCCTGCCTGAGACGCTGCGGGACCCCCGAACCCCGGACAGCCTGTGTTTACCTCGCTCGGTCCCACCCCTGGCGGCCGCGGGCCCGCCCGGAGCGCGCGGCACGATTGGGCGAGCGGCCTGTCAGTCTCCGGGGACTTTCCCAGGGATGGGGCGGCCGAGCCCGGCCCCCAGCACTTCCTAGTCCCACTGCCCCCGCCCAGGAGCCCGAGGAGTGCCGGAGCCTGGCCCGGGCCGCCGCCCGGTCCCTGGACTCGGGGCTGGACGCAGCAAGCGGGGCGCTGTGTCCCCAAGCTCCCAGTCCTCGGGTAAGCCTGCCTGGCCGTTACAGGGATGGAGGGGAGGAAGGGATGCCGGGCCCAGATCGTCCCGAGCCTCGGCGGTGGCGGGACGCGAGCTGGGGAAGATGGCCTGTGCCCAGGGGCCCGGCGCGCGAGGTCCCGAGGCGTCTCCGCTAGCGACCAGCCTGGGCTGCGCGGGGACTCCCTGCTTGGGGCTGGGGCTAGTGGGGGCCGCGCGTGCGCACTGCGCGGGGCAACGCGCCTGGGAACGGCGTGGGGCGGCTGCACGGGGCGCAGACCCTCCGGGTGCTGGCGACGCTGCTGCGGTCGGGGGGTGTCCATCGTGTGGAGACGAGCTGCCTACGCGGCGTCAGGAGTTTCGTATAAAGCTGTGGAAGCAGTGTGCATATGTCACGAGGAGGAAAATAATAATTTTTACTGGGCGCTTTTCAAGTGCTCATCTTAACGCTACAAGTGTATTAGTCTTACTTAATTGTAACTTCCATCCTAAACATTAGCATTGTTATTATCTCCATTTTATAGTTCAGGAAACCGAGGTACTTGGAGCTTGAGGTCACACAGCTGTGAGTCGGAAAGTCAGATTTGAGCTCAAGCATTTGGCTCCGGAGTTCCTACCATATAGTTTCGGTTGAACATATTTTGCATGCACATTGTTGGAGACATTTGTGTGCATGTGCAGAATAGATGAGTTTCCAGGAGTGGTTCTCAGGTTGGAGTTTGAAGGCTGAGCTTTCCACTGTAGGACATTTGTGTGCACATGTGCATTGTACGTTCATTAATTGTGTGTATAAGAGCAGAAAGGAATTTTGTGCGACTGGGTGAGAGATTGTGTTTTGGTAGGGGGAGGGAGGGACTTTTGTGGATGATGCAGAAGAATCAGCAACGTCCTTCCCCACCCTCTTGCGGAATCACAGTATAGGGAAATGTGTAGATTCCTAACGCATCATTTTTTTTTCTCACAGTACCGTCAAAATGGAATTTAATCAGCACTTACTCATTTTCCAAACAATGGGTGTGATCGAGGGGAATTTGGCATCTGATGAGAGGTCAGAAAAAGGGACTCAGAATTTTTTTAAAAAATCCTTGACGAAGAAAGGTAGCGTTGTATTGGGAGGGTAGAGTATTAATTAGTATAAACTCAGCAACCCTGTAGTGCTCCCTATTTTCCAACAGAAGAAACTGAACCAGTGAAAAAACTGATAATGCTAATACTAATAGCTTACTATGTGCTAGGCATAGTGCTTTACATTCAGTATCTCATTTACTTTTTTTTTTTTTTGAGATGGAGTCTCATTCTGTCACCCAGGCTAGAGGGCAGTGGCACCATCTCAGCTCACTGCAACCCACCTCCCAGGTTCAAGCTATTCTCCTGCTTCAGCCTCCCGAGTAGCTGGGATTACAGCCACCCGCCACCACTCCTGGCTAATTTTTTGTATTTTGAGTAGAGATGGGGTTTCACCACGTTGGCCAGGCTTGTCTCAATCTCCTGACCTCAAGTGATCCACCCACCTCAGCCTCTCAAAGTGCTGCGATTACAGGTGTGAGCCACTGCACCTGGATTCACTTAATCTTTGTTTCTTTCTTTTTCTTTTATTTATTTTTTATTTTTTAAGACGGAGTCTCGCTTTGTCACCCAGGCTGGAATGCAGTGATGCGATCTTGGCCCACTGCAACCTCTGCCTCCCGGGTTCAAGCAATTCTCCTGCCTCAGCCTCCTGAGTGGCTGGGATTACAGGCATGTGCCATCATGCCAGGCTAATTATTTTGTATTTTTAGTGGAGACGGGGTTTCACTGTATTGGCCAGGGTCTCGAACTCCTGACCTTATGATCCACTCGTCTGAGCCAGACGAGTGGATCATAAGTACTGATCACTTAATCTTTCTAAAACTCTATTAGTAGCCTTAATTTTCAGATGAGGAAACTGAGGCCCAGAGAAGGTTGACTTTCCCAAGACTAGCAACCCTTGAATCCTAGGCCCTGTTCCCTTTCCACTGACCACGGCTGCTGTCCTGGCTGTGTCCTGGGAAAATAATGTGATCAGGGACTGGCACTTCATGGAAGCACTTGATTATGCTCCTCTGGAAGCTGCCGCTAAGAGTGTGCTATGTTCTACACCCTATGTAACCATGTGTGTCTCCTAGCCTTGGGTGTTCCCATAGATATGGCATAGCACTCATGCTGAGGGTTGATGCCTGCCCCTGGATATCCCACCAGGTTTTTTGGGGCCCCAGGAAGCTGTGGGGTCTGACTCATACCCTTACCCCCAGTGCTGCCTGTGACTTGGGGCCCGGATGTCCTGGTTGGGTCAGGCCGACCTGATTTGAGTGAGGGAGTGTTGCAGGAGGTTGTTTGTCTGCCTCTCTCTCCAACCCACTGATTACTGTTTTACTCCTGCACCCGCTGTGATTTGGCCACTCCATGTGGGCCTGCTTTTCCCCCTCCAGCAAGCCAAGCTTGTTCTCATCCTGAGGCTTTCCTACGTGCTGTTCCCTCTGCCCAAACACCTTTCCCCAGATTTTCCCATGGCTGGTTTTTCCTTATCAATCAAGTCTCAGCTCAAATGTCACCTCCTCAGAGGGGCCTTCCCTGCTCTTTTTATGCAAAGCAGCCCCTTTTTTCACTTTCTGTCACATGACTATTTTATTTTTCTCATACATGTATTATGCTATGAAAGAATCTTGTTTATTTGCAAACGAGAAAGCCTAGGTACAGAACTTAGTGTTTGACAAATTGTTATTTGTAGTGTTTGTTTATTGTCTTTCTCTTTTCCTGGAATAAAAGGGGGTGAGCAGAGGCCTCTTTCGTCCCTGGGTGTATTTCTGCAGCAGCAGAAAAATGCCTGATAGATGGCTCTTCTGAGTTTGTTCAATGAATGAGCAGAATAATGGCACGTTTCCCAAATGAGGAATCTAAGGCCTACAGATGAGAAGGCAGGACAAGAACCAGGGTCTGCTCTCGCAGCTCTCTCCCAAGCATCATTTCCTGATGGCTCCCGTGTGCAGTGCTGTGCAGGGTTCATGATGCACAGGTGCATAAGGAGCTGGCCTTGCCTTCCAGGAACTTTTGGTCAAATGGGGGAGACGTGCTGTGAGTGCTACCCGAAAGGCATTATATGCCAGTAAGTGCCAAATGAGTCAGATTGGCATAAGTATAACTGGAGTGCAGAGTAATTTGGGGGCACCAGGTGGTTGGGGGGAGGTTTTCTGGAGGGAAGTGACTTCAAGATCAAGCCCTAAAAAAATGACAAAGTCTTGGGACGCTGAGGCTGGAGGATCACTTGAGTCCAGGAGTTCAGGGCTATAGTGCGCTATGCCAATCGGGTGTCTGCACTAAGTTTGGCATCAATATGGTGACCTCCTGGGAGTGAGGGACCACCAGGGAGCGGGGAACCACCAGGTTGCCTAAAGAGGGGTGAACTGGCCTAGGTCGGAAACGGAGCAGGTCAAAACTCCCGTGCTGATCAGAAGTGGGATCGGGCCTGTGAATAGCCACTGCACTCCAGCCTGGGCAACATAGCAAGACCTCGTCTCTAAAAGAAAAATAAAAATGACGAAGTGTCGAGTGGAGCCTGGGTCTCTTCTGGAACTTAGGAGACTAGGGAGACTGTCTGGAATCAGCCTCTCCTAGGTTGGGAGAATTGACCAGTTGGCTTGGGAAGAACCCTAAAAGATTTTGATACCAGACATAGAAATGTTGATTTTTCTCCTTAGCAGCGTTGGGAAATGGTCAGAGCAGTTGGTTCATAAACTTGAGCGTGCATCGGAATCCTGGGGGTGGAGGTAGAGGGTGGTTGTTAAACACAGATTGCTGGGCTGCAACTCCAGAGCGTCTGATCCAGTGGATGGCGGTGGTACCAGTGCCGCTGGTGTGGGCTGCTCCTTGAGCACCACTGGGGAAGAGCACGATTCAGTGCTTGGCAGACCTGGGTAGGTGCTGCATCTGCCACTCTGGGCCTGTGCGTCCTAACCTGTCAGCTCTGTATGACATCAGTGCTACCTCCTAGAATAGTGGGAATTAACGGGACAGTGTGTGGCAAGCACTATGGCCAACAGTATAGGGCCAACAGTGTGGTAAGTGCTCAGTAAATGGTTGCTGCTATTATCGTTATTGATGCTAATCCTGAGGTTATTGACGGGATTCCAGTAGAAGATGAGACTGGTTTGATTTTCTTTGCTTTGGATAACTTGCTGTTAAGGTTTGAATGTGTCCCCCGAAAGTTTGTATGTCGGAAACTTAATATCTCTGCCTTCATGAATGGATTGTCAGCTCTGCCTTCATAGATTAATGTCACTATCTCAAGGGTGGGTTAATTATAAAAGGGGCCAGTTTGGCCAGTACTCTCTATTTCGATCACTCGTTTTTACCTTCTGTCTTCTGTCTCGGTACGACCCTTGCCAGACAGTGATGCCATGCACTGGGACTTCTCATCATCCAGAACCATGAGCCAAATAAACTTGTTCTTTACAAATTGCCCAGCCTGTGCTATTCAACAGAGTAGTGGCAGAAAGCAGACTAGGACACTTGCCTTCAACCCTCTGCCACCCTGTGGACCATGCGGTGTCCTCTCTGGGTGAGTTGTCCTTTGCTTTGTCTCTTTGGAGTGGTGGAAACTCAGATGTGGGAGGGGCCTGGAAGACATCTGGCCTGAATTCCCTCAGCAGCCCCAGCACTCCTCTGCTTGACCCCGATCCTTGGGATCAGGGCACTCTCCACCTCATACCGCCCCTTCCAGTGTTGTTTAGACTTGTTTCTTTGTGAGCCGAAGTCAGCTGGGGTTCTTCCTTTCTCACCTCCATCATTTTCCCTCATTGCTTACCTGACCACTGTGAGGGAGGGAGGGAGGTTGGGCAGTAGCATGGTGTGGTAAGAGAGTGTATAGTGGCCACCAGAGGACGGGGCACACATTTCTTCTGTGCCACTGCTGTCCCATGCAGCTCTGGGCACGTCTGTTCCCCTTTGCTGGCTTTGGTTTCCCAGCTGCAGAAAGAAAACCTTTCACTGTCTG